CCCGAGGCCTTCATGGTGCTGCAGCTGAGGATGAGGGTGGTGGAGGAGCAAACCAGCGCGCTGGTGCGGGACCTGGAGGCGCTCGGCGGCGATGGGCTGAGGTAGGGAGGAAGCAGGGGCGAGCTTTTTCCTTCTTGGAGAGCTCACACTTGATTTTCCCCATCTTATTGCTCCTTGCACGCATTGGCCATGCTTTGCGCCCTCTCTCTGTGAGGGAGGTGGCACTGGCAGAGTGAGGGGGATGGGCTGCAGCAGCCTGGGGTCACAGGAAACTCCAGCTCTGGGAAACGCGATCGCTAGTCTGATCCCATCGTTTGTGCATACATGCAGTGTCAGGGAGGTATGCGTACACAGAGTGGGTCAGCCTCTCCTGCTTTTCAGCCTCGATCGCTACCAGTCAAAGACCTCAGGAACGCCTGCTGGCCACCCAGCTGTTAGCCCTGTGCAGGCCCGAGTGGCATTTGTGGGAGAAAATACACTGTGGAAAAACTGTGAAAAGCTGGTGAATCGAATGTGTCGGCTGGAGAGTGTTGTACAGACACTGAAATTAAACATCTTCCGGCTGCAAACAGAAAAGGAACGGAATCCAAAGCATACAGGTACTAAAAAGGTTCTTTTTACCACATAGTTCTTCACTGTCTCTCCCTATGCTTTGTCTGTCAATTAAAGTTTTTTGCCTTTTCCGTGTGGAAGCCCAGTTGGAGCGGCGCCTGAATGCAATCCACGAGGAGCATTTGCAAGAAATGAAGATTGTACAGCAAGAAGCAATGAAGTTGCACCAACACCTAAGTGATATGAAAGAGGCTGAACAAAAGGCAAAAGAAGAAGTTCAGAGACTGAGTACTGCTCTGGAGATTACAGCTGCATCCAAGGTACAAGAGATTATGATCTTCTTAGAGTTCCCAGTATTAACAGACTTGTTTTTAAGTACGTTCGTCACTGACATAGTTAAACAGAAAATACTCAGCTGGAAAAAGGAGTTTATGATGTATCGTTGGCAGTAAGAGCAAACAGTTTTCATAATGAGAATGTGTTCCATCAATTAAAAAAAAATACAGATCAAGAATAAAAATATTTGAGATTTGTAATTCTCTTCGTGACTGAAGTTCATCCTAGCTTTCATGCACACAGTTCTCAATAGCTTTTGTTTTTTCAGAAACTTATATTTCTCTGGTATTTCAGTCTTATTCTTTTATTGGTATCTTCCCTCAAGAGAACTTCAATGGAGTATGTCAGTCTCATTAACTGTATTAAAGAACATGTTGCTTTGTAGTGCTTGCACTCATATATTCAGTGGTTCAGAACAGAGAGCATCAGACTGGAGATAGAAATCAAGTTCTAGGTGTTAACATGGCAGTTGCATTTTATAGTATGTATTACTTTTGCAATATTTATGAACATAAAAGGATAAAAATACCTGTTCCTTTCATCTTTAGATGGATGTAGTGATTGCAGCTGAGAAACTGAGGAACGCAAAACGGAAAATTAACTGTAGACTTCAGCAGGTAAGTACAAGAGCAAGGAGCTTAGTAGGAGGCTGAATTTGCCAAGTATTATTTAAAGGTTTGAAGAAGATGATCCTTAAATAATATTCTGGGTGCAGTTTTGGAATGTGCACAGCCCAAAGGAACTTGCCAGCCGTGCTCATAACTAAATACCCAGACAGAACATCTTTCATATATGATCTCAAAGTATTTGTTCAATCTACTTAATTAGATCTGGGTCAAAAAGTGTTTATTTTTTCTAGCTAACAGAACAGCTGTCCCAGGAAATCAGGCTGCGGGAATCTTTGGAGGAATCCCAAGCAACTGTGATGTGTCATGTACAGGACATGGAAACAACAGTAGAAGCAGAACGGAAGCAGGTTTGAGAAACTTTCAGTCTTCTTTTGTATCTGTTTTCATTTTCTCATCTGGGAGGAAGAGCAAGAGCTTGGATGTCGTTCCTATAAACCAGTTAAAACACTTTATAACATTTTGTACAAGCTGTGATCAGAGGAGATCATGTAGTCAAACTTCCTGCTCAAAGTAGGAATATCACAAACACTGGATTGGTGCAGTAGTGGATTTGTCTAGCAGAGTTCAAGGACTGTGATTCCATGGCTGCTTTAGGTATTTTTTTGTCATGCTGCAGTAATGTTGCAGTTAAGATTCTTTTTCTAGCATCCGATCTGAATGTTCTAAGCTTAAATTTGGGACCATTGCCCCTTCTTAAATCACTCAGTGCAACTGAAAAGAGTTTTTCTTCATAATCTTTTTAACTAGCTCTCAGATTTGTGGGCAGCAATTGAATCCTAACTTCAACTCCTCTTCACCAGGCTAAACAAGCCTCTTTATAATTGAGGTTATGATAAGCCTTCTGTTAGAAAATGCAATTTCTGAAGAATAGTCTGTTGAGATCTTAAACCTTTCGGGAGTAAGAATGTTTTCTCCATTAGTTGCCATGATGACAAAGCTAGATTTTTGTTCTCGGCTGTATTTTCATTATCCAGTTATTTTGGAGTGTAGGGAGGGGCCATAGTTCATGGTAGAAATGAACTGGCTTATGCATAATTCAAATAAACAAAACTGATTCCCCTCTTTCCATGCGTACACACACAGGAACCACATGCAGTCACTCTAATACTTGTGAATTCATAGCAACAGTTTGGTAAGGATAAAAGAAAGTGAATAACAAAGCATCAAAACTTGAATAACTACGGGGGGAGGGGTTTCTAGTTTTTGATGATCCTGAAATTCTCTTTGTTCCTGAAATATACCATGTTCTGTTAGAAATTACTGGATTTTTTTCCTACATTCTTTTTAGCATCTTTGTGTTCTTCTATGGCAGAAGGGGAAAAATGGTGGATACATTATTGAACTGTATGAATTATACATCATATGAGAAGCAAAGGCTTAGTTTAATTAATCTGTAACTTTCTGACGGGTATAGTTAACCCTGTAGTATATTAGTTAGCGTTAAAACAAAAAAAACTCCTCACAAAACAGCATGAGACTTGTTAAGTGCCTTGAGTATTGCATTCACCTTCATCTTTTCTAGCTTGATCTTTTCTATGATCTTTAATTGTGCAAACTTGTTAGATTCTGCCTGTCACGTAAAGATGCTTATAAGCACACATACAGTGCATTACATATAGGAGTTGAGTTGCTTGACGTAAGACTTCTGCATAAGATAGGGACAGGCAGAAAGAGAGGAGAAGCTGATCGGGCTATAATCTTTTCCAGTTAGATCAACTTTTCAGGCTCTGAAATTTGCTTAGGTTTGCCTGACTGAATTCTGCATCTTAAAGAATAATCTGTGATGTCATTGCAGGTACATATGTTACAGCAGGACTGCCAAGAGTTGCATAAAGATGTCCAGCTAGCCAGAGTGAGGCTGCAAGAGGAGGAGGAAAGAACTGCCCAACTGGAGCAACAGTGTACACAACTGAAAGCTGAGCTGGGTATGACTGGGTTCTCATCATATCTTTTTAGCCCATCTCTCCCTGCTTCCACAGTGAGAGGAGAAGAGCACAGAGGTCCTCCAGACCTATGGCAGGTGTATCAGTCAACAGGAACGGAGGGCAGCTTAAGAGGTGATGAAATATTAAAGGCCTTTAGTTTGCATGTGATGTTTCTAAAGCCCCTTCTTACCTAGAGAAAACTGACAACAGTGGCAATCAGGGTAATAAACACACAACAGTAATATTAAAAGACTGCATCAGCATAAATTCTTTTCAGAGGAGACTTTTTCTAGCAAGTAGCATGGTTCCTGAACTGATGTGGAAGTAGCATGCTCATTGCTATTGAGTCTTTTGCAGCTGATTAAAAAAAATGTGCTCTATTAAACATCAGTATAAGGACAAACATCTTGGATAAGCCTCTGGTTGATCTCATTTAGATTCCCAATCTATTGATGTGAAAGTAGCTGCTTATAAGGGAGCTAATTGGCATTTAATGCACTCCAGGGTAGGTGGGAGGTCCGTATTGTCAAAATTAAAGGTAAATATTCCTAACCTAAAGTCTGTTCCTTACTCCCAATGAACTCACAGTAACCATGCCTAAATCCTATCAGAATTATAGTACTTGTAATCCGTCCCTCAGGACCTATTTCAGATTTCTTTCACAGAGGTGTTCCTGTTTCCCATATGTTTTGTTTGTTATTCTGTGAATCACACATGATAATTAACCTGTAGCTCACAAAAGGCAGTCACCGTTTCTGCCTACGGCATGGCAATGGAAAAGAAACTTGGCATGTTGTGGCAGAGTTGGCTGAGTGGAGGAGAATGATGGCAGAAGAATTCTTTCCTTCAGAACAAATTTGTATCAAAATGGCAAATTGAAATGAGAGGTACAAATTTTCTTTACTTCTGTATAAATAATCCTGCTGATTAAGGCTTTCTCAATTTGTTAATTGAAGTAACTTCTGAGTGATCCTTTGATGGTATCTTGGATGTCATAATATTTTGGCTAGATTTCCCTCCCTACCCTGCTCATGCTGAGTTGTCTGTTGTTGTCTTCAGTTTTTTTCCTGTATGTTATACAGCACAGCAGAATAAGGGGCTGGCTATTATAGGCAGATTGATTCAAATTCCAACAAAAAGTGCTTCTGCTTTTAGACCTGTACGGTTTAAGCAGGGATCCAACTAATGTTCTTTGTCAATGTGCAAAAACTTGTGACGTTGCATATGTGCTGTGGGTTATAGTCAGGACCAATCAGTTGCTTACACACTAGACAACTGAATAAAAGACTTTGAGTTATTTGATTTGCTCAAGCAATCACAGAAGTGGTATATGTAGGAGATTGGTATGATGACATGCCTAATTTTAAAATTAAATAAGTTACAATTAATCTATGGAATCAATTTGTAAAAGTAATTTTGCTGAAATATTGACGTTAAGTGTTGAACAACACATTTGTAGAAGTCTTACCTGTTTGTGGCATATTCAGTAACTTAGCTAAACTCAAACATTAAATTGAAGTGTCGCCTTTAAAAATTACCAAACAGATAACAAAGCATGTCCTGACATTCTTTTCTATTTTTAGACTCCAGGAATGGTATAATTTCCCAGCTTGATGAAGAAGCAAAAGTAAGTTGTGAACAAGTATTAGTGAGGAAAACAGCTAAATAAAAACCAGAACAGCCTGCACGCGGCCTTTCAAATGTACTGTATGTCAGAGGTAGAATTTTTATGTGGACAAATGGCAAATGTGACCAAGGCCACTAACCACTGAATGTCTTATTGTATTATTTTACCAGTTTGGGGTTGCCCAACTTATTTTTTGAAAGATTAACTTTCATATTCAACTGAAATATTAAAACAGTGATATGAATGCCTTCCTTGGAAGGCTAGAACTGACCAGGAAACACAGTTGTGGTAGTACAAGTATTGAATACAAAGGAGAAAAATAAATGGATTGGTGATTAATACTACAGAAAAATCAGAACCTTGGTCAGCTGGGTACTACCTGGGCGAAGAGGTATGCTTACTGCCTATGTAGGGACTGTGTGTGCTGTCTGAAGTCTTCTCTGAAAGAGTAAGTTTCAGTGAAGGTGAGGTAAAAGTTCAGCTTAGATGTGGAGTCTCACAGTGCTGGCAAAGGATTCCTTTGATTGTAAATTGTACCACTCCTGGCAGGGAGATTTTTTTAATTAATTAATTATAGTGGAGTCTAATAAGTTTGAGCTTAGAAGGACATGAAGTTACCTTCAACTTTCAAAGCTAAGTTAGAGCAGGTAGTGCTTTGATTATTATTTCAAAGTATTTCCTCTTTTGGAAAGAGGCTTGTACTATAGGAGCCATGCCTGGTGCTTGCACATAGCCATCTGATAATACCTTAAAGGAAATAGGCAAGTATGAAACAAAGACTTGATATTTGTGAAGTGCCTGGCTAAATTACATTTACATTTTTTCTCAGTGGGCATTCTGTTTTTTTGCCCCTTAGAGTGCACAGCTGTCCTTTAGCAAACAACACAAAGAGAACCTGCAACTTCAGTCTAAAATGACTGCCCTGCAAGAAACAGCAGAGAAAGTACAGGTAACAGGAATAGCTAATCTTGTTTTTAAAATGTAAATAAAGTAAAACAAAGCAAGTTATTATAGTGAGAAATTATTATACATTTACTGGAAAGCCTCAAATGCAGATCAGGAGACAAAGTTGAGCACCCTCAGGTAATGTGGGCTAATGAACAACTTCCAGTGAAGTAACTCAATCACTAGCCTAGGTGACTGTTCCAGATTTTGCAGCCTTAAGGCTGGAAAGTTTTCTTCCCAATACTTATTTTGAATCAGCTTTTTTGAAAGTGTCTTCTTCACAGGCCAGGACATGCAGAACTACTGCTGCTCCCTCTTCTATCTACCCTTGAAGTAGTACATTTATATTCTTTTGCACCTTTAGATTCTAAATGAATATGTTTCTGTTAATGAGTCAAATACGGAGTACCTGCTTGGCCTTTTGGGACCTCAATACATTCTAAAAAAAAAGTTATTTATTCTACTCCTGCTCTTTTTAGAACACATTTTAGAAAACATTTTTCTATTTTTTCCCCTGTCCCCAAGAGATACTTGTTTACTGGACAGTGATCACTGGTAATGGGATTGGGATATGTCGTTCACAGAAAAGTTCAATTTTTCTTTGGTTATCTGCAATAATTCAACTATGAAATTAGTATGGGTCTGTTGTCAAGTTTTGCCTTCTTTGCCTTAGAAAAATAATTTTTTTATGCACTTCAAAACTAATAAGTGATTATGCTTGATTGGTAGTTTAAAGTATGTTCTCTTTTTTCCCCATTGCTGTAAACTTTTAACACCTTGGAATAAGTCTACTATAAATTGAAACTATCTGAACAAGCTTTTTTGGACACTTTCTACCTAGAATAGATTTTTCCACATCTGCAAGAGATTTTTAAAAAGTTTCTGACATCCTACTATGCAAAAAAAAAAAAAAAAAAAACCAACACACAAACCTAAAAAAAAACCCACAAAACTCTGCAAACATGTTTGTCATCCTTCTCCTCCTCCTTATATCTAACCAGGTCCTTAATGACCACTTAAGCCATCAATGCTCAGAGCTCAGCACCACACTTCTAAGTGCTGTCATGGAGAATGCTAAACTCATTTCAGACCATCAGACCATGCTTAAGGTATGTAGCTTACTATTACAGTCCGAGAAAGTTGTCTGCAGCTCAGACATTAGACAACAGACTAATTCCTAATATTGATAATCTCTGGGAATACAGGAAAATACTTCATATACAGCAATGGAAGTTCTATAAAGGTGATAATAAAAATGTGTTAGCATCCTTCTTTGGCAAAGATTTATTTTCAGTACAGAAAAATAAAAGTCATACATTATGGGGAACGAGTGTAAATAAGATGATACTATTCATAGAAATATCCCGTAACAACCACTGAGAAAGAGGAACATAGGAATTAATGGGCATTGTAAGTACTATAAATGCAGAAGCTGAGTGGAAGTAATAAGGACCTGAGTTTAAATATAAAAGAAGGTAAGGTGAACTCAGCTTTGACACCCTATTCAAGAAGCAGCACATCACAATATGCAGAACTATAGGGATCAGGCAGTAGCTTGATGACAAATTAACACCTTTGTAAATTAATTGCTTGTCCCTCATCATTCTGATGTTAGTGTTATTGCCTGGGTAATTTTTCCTCTTTAGGCAGAACAAGAAAAGACTCACAAGCTGCAAGAGCAGGACTCACTTCTGAATGCTGTCCATGCCAACTTTCTCGGAGAGCTGCAGAGTGTGCAGCATGAGAGGGCTCAGCTTCAAAGAGAGCTGTGAGAGGTTTTCTTGTCTGCAGCCTCTGTCCCCCCTTTCTTCTGTTGCATGGTTACCACCTTGTATACTGCTTCTCCAGCACTTGTTACTTATTAACACAGAAGGGCCAGTTTGGTATTACATATGGAGGCCACCTTATGTCCTTCCATTGTGTTAGAATTCCAGTTTGGCTATTTTGTCTTTAGGGAGGCCTTGCGTACAGAGCATGGCAAATACAGGCAGAAAGCAAGCTTTGCTGAGGAGGCAGCAACTGCACAGAGACAGCTTTTGGAATGTATGGTTGGTAAACTGCAAGGTGAACTTGAGACCGCTTTGCAAGAGAAAAGATCTCTGCTGGCAGAAAAGGAAGATCTTCAACAGGAGGTACAGAGAACTTACGGTTTTAAAACTATATTCTTGAAGGCTACTTTAGGACCCACATCACTAGAGTTCCTATTTACACACCAGTTTTGCTTTCAGAATTATTATTTTTGCTATTGCAGTGGCAAGTGTGACACACACTCCCCTTTCCTACTATGCTTAGATTTTTGACTTGCAATTTCTCCTCTCTGAAGCATGAAAAGGGAGAGAGGACAGGGCAGCTCTGCAGATATTAGTTCTGAACTTCAGAGTTGACTTGCAGCCTTCAAGTCAACTGTTCTGAAGATGCATAGTGTTTCTGTGAAACTGGATGTTTTCAGGTGACAATGATTTCACATTTCTTTTGGCAGCTAAGGAAAACAGCAAATGAAATAATACAGGAAAGGAACAAATTGGAAGTAGAAAACACAGCAAGTGAGGTATTGTGCAATACATATGTCTGTTCTTTACATTCAGTGTTGGCTTTCTCTAAGTTTTCCTTTGATTTTGCTTACTCTCTCAAATAAATTATTTCTAAATAAAATTGTGTTTACCATAGTCATTGTTCACTTTGCTGTTTGATATTTTTCTTGTCTATACAGATATGTCCTTTAGTGCAGCAACCCTACTGCTACCTCCACAAGACCCTATTTGCAGTAATAAGTTTGTTATGCTACTATGGCAAATGTTTAGTAACTTTCAGCTTCTCCTAGCTGTTTCACCCATGTAGCTTCCTTGCATATGCATAGCCTAGAAAAGGAAAGGTAGCATTTGTGGTATAAATGAGAAATTCCTTAGCATTATGACTGAAGTCAGCATGACTGGTGGAGTTTCTTTCACTGTTGCAGAAGGACTCTGAAACAGAAGAGACTATACGTAATCTATTTGTAGTGCTGAGGTTTTGTGATATTTTGTATTGTGACTGTGGAAATCTTGAAGTGGTGTGATTAGAGTTGGATTTTCTTGTTCATAGCTAGAAATGGTTTCAATGAAATTCACTTTGCAAACACTAGAGAAAGAGAACAAGAGGCTATTGGATCGCTTGGCTGCCCTGGCACATGAACAGGTAAGCCACTAATAAAGTAGATAATAAATTACCTGATTGAAAAGTAACTATAGCAGGAATCAAGGTGCTCTTTGAAGTAATCTGTATTATAGGGGGAGTGGCTAATCAAATTAAGTAATCAAAAAGGGGAAAAAATGAAAAAGAATATATCAAATGTTGCTCCATCTTTTTAGATGTCTGTGTGGTATGAGCTAAGATGATTATATGGACCTTCAGGTATTGGACATTAAGGCAGATCATTAAAATGCTATGACTCCATTCCATTTTCTAGTACAGGTATACAGCTTGTATATCTGTACATGTATATTCACCTTGTGTACATTGGGAAGGTATTAACAAGTTTTATGCCCTTTGTCAACAAATTTGCACTTGGGACCTCATTCCCATTTTAACTTGTTCCCATTCCATTATTTCTCACTAATATCAGTCACGTGACCACATCCAGAAAAGTTGAGTAAAAGCTTAGTAATACTGGGCTACCAGTGCTTTTACTATTGGGTTTTATTTTTTTTTTAAACAGTGTTGGATCAGTTGTATACAGTGGAGATGCTAAGAAACACTTGGCTGCTGATAAGGTCCCAGCATCATGATGCTAAAGAAGAATTAACTGAAACACTTTTTGAATGTTTGTTATTTGATAATCAAAGTTACATTTGTACAGTAGTTAGTCTGTAACATACAAATATTTATTTTCTGTTTAACATAGATCTCCTTTGGCAGTCATCAGTTAAAGAATATGAATCAATAGAGCATTTAGAACCTTAAAAAGTCACCTGAATTTTTATTATTATTTACTGTCTAAGTTATTTTAATTCTGTCCATGCTTTCTCATTCTTCTAGATATTTTTTCTTTGTTCACTGTTGTCACATGTTTCTTTCATCTCTCCATTTCTGTTGCCTGTGCTTCTAGGACAGTGGCCTTCTTGTGACCATGTGTAAGGTTGTACCAGTTTGAGCAGTTCTTCCTAGAGATAAACTGTCTTGGATAAATTTATGCTATTTAGATTTTTTTTTAATCTAGTGTTTCACCAATTGAAAATTTATCAACAGAGGAAAGTTGAAATACTGAGGGAGAAACAGGACGCTGAGCACCTTTTTTGTTGCTTTGGCCCTTGTTTTTCCTATGGAATGGTGATGTCTGCTCTTTTTTCCTCAGTATGCCCAGCAGCAGCTACAACAGGTGCTGGCAGAGCTGACTGAGAGCAAGAATAAATTGGCCTGTGAAAAAGGAAAACTTCAGGTACTGCTCAGCATCCTATTTGTCAGCTCAAAAAGGAAATTAGGTTTTTTATGTTTGTCTAAGATAGGGTTGTTTAACCTTAGCTCTTCAGTACTTTAGTTGGAGGGAAGTGCTTATTTATCTTCCCTACTTAATTTATTTGTGTAGTGTCAAGCACATATATATTAAGAGAGTTCTGCATCATAATCATCTTTGATCCTGCTCATACTACCTTTGGGTGACAAGATGCTGTTGATGGAGCATCTTTAGGATTTGTGATAATTAACTTACTTAATGTGTGAAAATAGCAGAGTGGCTAATAACCACCAGGGGGCATTAAAACAAAATACATGGCTATAAAGTTGGTTGAAAGATTATATAGGTATAAAATTGGTTGAAAGATTAGAAACATGGAAGACTATAAAAAATATAAATTAATAAGGAAAGAGGCAAACCGTGGTGGTAAGTAAAAGTAAGAAACATATGTTTCTTAAGCAGAAGTTAGATAGACAGTAAGTGAGGTGCCGAAATTAAAATTTTAATTGTGACCTATGTCATGGAATTTGGGATAGTGATGCAAGGATTCCTGAGTTTCTTTTAAATAACACAGTACAGAATGCATAGTGATTATTAGAGAGCAAGAAAGCTACATTTATGCAATAGTCCTAGGTCTGATGGTGGTGACAGAAGTGACCAAGACATTGTATTTAGATTAAAACAAGGTGAATTCTAATCTGGAATTATTTCTGTGGAAGGATAAATTAGAAGTGATTCACTTGCTGCTTCTCCTACTGTGGGACTTGGGGAAAACAAAACATTTGCTCTGGGCAGAGAGATGTTATCACATCACTATGCTTCTGTGTTCCAGATAAAATAATGCTTTTCAATTTCTGCACTAAAAGAAAGCTGAGCTATTTTGCCACATCTCTTTTCTTAAGACTGAAGTGCAAATGCTGGAGGAAGAGCTGTAGATGTTTTTAGATAACAGTGAGCTTTGCAAGTGCATTGCATAGAAACCAAATACACTCAGGTGAAAGAGAACTTTGAGAACTTCTTACCCCTCAGAATTAGGGTCAGACTAACTAATGCTTACAGAGCCATTAGAAATCAGATTCAACACACTTTCTTCTGAAGAACAGAGCATACACTTAATGTTAACCATAGTATTCTAGTCTGCAGCTAGAAACAGAACCTGATTTCATCAGAACAAACATGAGAACCATGGAAGCTAAGCTGAACAAAGCTGTTTCTCATGCATGTATTCAGGCTAAAAAACACACAGTTGACAGGTTTATAAAAGATAGTCCTCAGGATTTATTTTAATTTCCTAGTAAGAGAACACATAGTTGCAGATAATACTTGTTGAGCTATATTGCTGGGAGGCAGACAGTTATTCTGCTCGACTCTGTTTGCTCAGTCTTAACAGACAGAAGTAGAGAGAAGAGGCACGTTATCCTGGGCAGCGAAACCAAGCTTATAAGACTGTGAAGTGGACTCTGTTCCATCATGAGTTTGCTATTCTAAGCTGTAAGGTTGAGTAACTGCATTGAGACTGCTGTTCACACAGAAGAATGAACTCGTAATAGCAAATGCTCTTTACAGATCCCCCTTGCTTCTCAAATACCAAAGCAATCTTGTAATAAATTTTGAAATGGAAAACTAAAGAGGCAAAAGTGACAAACTGTCAATCATATCGATAATCTCCATGCCACCATCTAGAGATTAGACAGAAGATGTAATCACGTTTAGGACACTTCCCTGGAAAACAGGAGGTCCTATTTTTGCCATCTGTGTCCAGAAAGCAAAATAAAGGTTCTCTTGTACTTTATGCTCCATCATAGAGGATGGTCCATCAGATAGTCAAAGGCAATTGGATATTATGTTGATGCTTGGAATCTATGACCTGAATGCTTTCAGATTTTGGGGAAATTAAAACACTTAGTTCCACTGGTTTACAGATATAGAGAGATAGCTATAGAAAGGTCTCACAGTGGGAGCAGAGCAGAGGGGTGCTCAGAACCAGGGGACTGTGCTGGGTCTGCAGACCTGTGACAATGGGTGACATCACAGCCTTCTAATGAAGTTCCAGTCAGCACTGTGTCTCGCTGCTGCCAAGATACGGGGGAAATCACATGACTTTGGATAACATGCCATGGAAGCTATCACAGAAGAGAGCTTAAATAATGCAGACTTAGGAATAAGATGTAACGTCTACTTCTGCTCCAGTGAATAGATATTTTGGAGAGTATTTTTTCAATTTCTGTTTTTGGTACTCACATCTTTACTACCTCCAAGGGGTGACTGATTTTGTGATAGGAATGGCACCAAAACAAAAAAAATCCCCAACAAGGTCTTGGCAACAGAAGTCTCCTGATCGCAATGCTAGGTCAGGTGCAGGCTCAAGAGAAGAAACTATGAAATCTGATTTACGTGCTTGCCGCTCTACTTTACACCAAGTTAATTTTGAACAAGATAAAAGTTCAGGAAATTCTGTGTGTGAATGTGGAGATTGTCCTAGGGTCACACAGAGGATTCTGTTAAATGCTGTAAAGAACATGGGAGAAAAACTGGAGAATATAATAGGCATTCTCACTCCAAGATCATTGAAAACTGGATGGTCTGCTGGGATTAATGAAGGAGCCTTTAATGTGGTGAGTGATGACCATGAAATGCAAGTTAGAGTGATGGTTAATTTCAATTGACTAATTGATGATAATGAAGAAATGTCTGAAAATTGACAGAGACCAAAACCTTTGAGTGTTTTTTTATTTGAAAGAGATGCAGATGAAAACTTGGGCTAAGCAACATTAGAATCAACAACTGGTTTTGACTAAAATCTGAGCTTCATGTATCTGTGGCACTTCTTGAAGCCTCTGTGCCAAGAGCTGAGAAGCACTGGAACTTTCAGTTAGTTAAAACACCCACAAAAAAACCCCCAAGAACACCACCACACACTCAGCTGGGGCTTAAACCAAGGGTAGAACAAAGGTTTTGTAATTAGAGGAAACTATTTCCATGTTCAGAACCATTGCATACTCTTGGCACTGCTGCAAGCATGCAGGTTACTTGTAAAAGAATCCTTTAATAAAACTATAATAGATGACTGATTTTCCAGCTCCTTTTCCTGATGATTTCTTGTTCTGCAGATGGCAAACCTGCAGCACCGTCTGGACACAGCAAAGAATGAGAACAGTAAGGTGACAGCTATGCTGGAGTATGTGTTAGCTTCTCGTAACAAGATGCAAGCAGCTCTGGATGCGGTCCAGACTGAGCTGCGACACAAGGACACTGAAATCAGCAACCTCAGAAAAGACAAGTAAGCAAAAGTGATATTGTCTTTGGGGCCTATCAGCAGTGTGGCGAAGACTGATACAGTTGAAGAGTGCTGTCTTCCCCAAGGTTCTGGCTAATAAGCTATAGGAGAGGTTTGTTTGAAAAGTTTCATGTGTCCTTTCGTGCAACACTGAAACATACTTTGTACTATTGAACCAAGTACACCAAGTGCTTGTAGCTGACTCTGCAAGCTTGTCCGGCCTTATGCATCTTGTGGAAAGTAGGTAAAAAACAAGTTCAATTTAACTTCAGGGACAGACAAAACTTAATATGGTGAAAGTAGAGAAACAAACCGTGAGGTGGTCACCACTTCAGAGGAGATGTGCACAAATTGACTTAATGCATGATTTTTTTAAATCCAATTTCCATTTTCAGGAGACAGACTCAAGAGAAAATACAGAGATTAGAAACAGAACTGGAACATTGCCAAGTCAAACTGGTTGCCATGGAAAGGCGGAACAGCATTCAGGTAGAGACCACATTTTTCCATAGTAACAGCCGCCACTGCATTTTTGGTGTTCAGCCAAATACCTTTTTCTGAATACAATACGATGCAACACATTCACGTGCATCAAGGCAAAAATATTCTATCAACTTTTGTCTGTGGAGCAGCAAAATTGATATCCAAGTGTTGAAGGAGGCAAGCATCTCCTCTCTAAAGAAAAATTTCTCAGCACAGGTGAAGGTTTTGCAGTCTGCAGCTGGATGTACAATATGAACAGAGATTTCAAAAGTTTATATAGCCTTTATTTTTTCTCTTATTAGAATGGAGGGGAAAAAAAGAGTCCAAGGAATTGCTTTAATCTCTTTTCTTAATAGTTAGTGTCAAAAGGATTACCTCACAACCCAAACACACTTGATACTGGCAAAGAACTTTTTTCTTTTTCCAAGAAAGCCATGGCTCTCTGACAAATTGTTCTGATCCTTCTGACTAAGACAGTCAGTGGATTGGCATTATAAGGATTCCCATCTAGATGCCTGTGCCTAGGACATTTGTAATCAGATAGTTGGTGAACACACTATTACTTCCTATAAGTTCATACTGACTGAGAAGGAAAAAAAATATTCCTCTCTAAGTTTTTTAATTTGGGTAAGTATAAATCTGATTTGTTGTTACTGCACAGGTGGAGCCACTTTGTAAGGCACTAGAAAGTGCTAGAAGAGACAACAAGAAACTTGTTCTTCATTTGGAAGAAGTTCTGCAGATCAATAATACCCTGCAGAGCAAGCTGATCCAAACTCAGTATGAAATGAAAAGTAAAGAAACTGAGCATCAACAGCTGTCAGTCTGCAGGTAAGACTAGATCCCTGATATATTACACTTGAGGAGAAACACTACTTTGCACTAACATCAGAGCTTTATGGCTTTACTTATCTATCAATATCAGCATTGATTGTATGCTGAGCCAGCAGCATGACAAAGATAGATTCATGCAGAGCCACAGAAACACGCTCTTTCACTCATTTCCATAATGACTCTTCAACCTGCTCTGCTGTACTGAGAAACTGCTTAGCCAAGGTCATTATGGCACTTCTACAGACAGCTTCTCCACGAGGACAGCAGATATCACTTCCACTTTCAAGTGGCCTGCAGTAGCTATAGCAAGGAGAACACAGGATAGCTGTTTAAATTTCCCACCCCGAGCAGATATCACTTTCACTTTCAAGTGGCCTGCAGTAACTATAGCAAGGAGAGCACAGGATAGCTGTTTAAATTTCCCACCCCAAACTGAACGCTAGTAAGTAAAACTTCAAACCCAAGTATAGGTGCAGTCTGAATCTCCTCAATGTCCTTTGTCAAAACAGGCTTAGGCATTTAATTTTCTGAAGGAAAGTAAGTTGTCCTAAAGTGTTTTTTCCAAAAGGTCTTATTTACCAGGTATAGCTATTTTGAACCTCCTTTTAAATAAATGGAATATGAAATATTAGAAAGCACATTCCAATCTTTAAACAGTAGTGGTACAGAGAGTACATCCAAGACAAAAGTACTTACAGTGGAATTGTCTTTCCTATACTTGTGTTTAAAAAATAAAACATATTAAATATAAATTTGAATAACTGAATTTGGTTTTTCCCTTTAAAGGGAACAGTTAATGGAAAGAGACAAAACTGAGGAAAAGATGTATGCTGAACATATAGGGTCTTTGAAGAAGCAGTTTCAAACTGAACAAGAAGCTTCCAGGAAAGCTGCCTGTCAAGAATCTGCTGAGGTGAGAAGGGATAGAATTAAACAATTTCAGTGAATGATTTCCAGAGAAAGAGGTCTGCTTTACAATCTTCCATCAGAACAAGAGCAGATCATGACAAATATTTGTCTTCTTTTTCATTCATCATGGAGTTGTCCATCACTTGTATACAACAAACAGAATTTTGTCATGTGGTGGACAGATATTTTGATGGCTGTGCATAGTGATATCTGTGCTCTCTAACTTTTTCAAGTATCACTCTATGTCCCCAAACACTATACAGCTCATTGTACATAAGATCTAGACATTTATATCAGTCATTACAGTGACTTCAAAAGGATAGTCTGGGGTTGTATAGCAATCTCCAGGGATAAAATACTGGTTTAGAAGTCTGATTTGCTTCTTGGGAGCTGGATAACAAATAAAGCTCAGCATAACCTTAATATTGCTCAGATCCCAGTATTCACTTTTTTCCCCATTTGTTAGAAGGGTATTAAAGAAAAGTCAAAACACCAGGTGCTGTAGCATTCTTCAGTTACAACAAATCAGTTGGGTGTGCTGCTTATTAATTGTTGTGTAGAATGAACTAATTTTTAGAGGTACTGTGAACTCACTTTTTCCTCTTCCCCCTAGGTGAAGAAAGCCCTTGAAGAATCCTCCTCCAAATTGGCTGAAGTGTCCCTTACTAACAAGGAGCTGCGGCAGAAAGTAGTAGAGCTGGAAAAGTCTTTGTCCAGTTACAAGGAAAAGCTAAAAAGCCAAAGAGCTCAAGTTGGACAATGCCTGGCCTGTAATGCTAACACAGAAAAGGTAAAGGTATGCACACATTTTTTCAATAAGCCAGATGTCCTAGTCGAGGACTCTTTTTTTCTCCTACTGAGTAGGACTGCTGTTGATCCTTTGCAGTGGAGCTAGACTTGAAAAAAAAAAACAAATTCTAGACTCAAATTCTGAACAGAAGATGAATATATCGATAGCAGCTACAGTAATTGTGTGGCTTTCCCGGTCATCCCTCCCCCCCATATTAAATATGATTCCATAGAGTCCCATCCCCCCATTAGATTTTTATAGTAGCATATATCCTCTTTATAATTTTGCGGATACAATCTATTTAATTATTGATTGAGCCAAACATTGCTTATGTAGCGATTAGTCCATTTCCATCCCTTATTAGCCATAGAACTTACGGTTTAACTGGTACCTGATCCTCAATTTGAATCTAGACTCCTTTGCAACTCTGCCACCTGCTTGTTCCCCTTTCCCCAGTGGGACATGGGTTCTCTTAACTTCAGACTCAGAGCAAGAGATAAGGACACAGTGTGCAGACATCCACAGAAATAGTTCCCATGTAATGGCCACTGAGCCTGAAAAATTCCTTAAGTTTTGTTTCTCACGATTTCCAGGAGACTGAATGTAAACTGAGGAAAATGGAAGCAATAAGAGAGGAGTATCAAAAGAAGAATTATGAACAGATGAGCTTGCTTGACCAGTTTCCTGAAGAGACTTGCTCTCCTAAAATGTTTTTGGAATTTCATTCTTCTGTTGTATTCAGTTACAGGACATCCAGAAATTTCTGTCAGCGTTCGAAAGCGTGCAGAGCAAGACGCCAGCGTTGCCGAAAAACCAACAGGAAGTACAGGTGCAGAACAGGCAGCTGGAGACCCAGCTGGAAGTGGAACAAAGGCGAAGACAGCAGCTGGATAGCAAATGTCAGGTAAAGTGATAACAGCATGAAAAAGTGGTGAGACAGCAATGGAAGCATTTTTGTGCTAAATCTATGGGGCTGTAGAACAGATGTTAGAAAGACTTTATGAACTCAGTTGGAAGGCATTTGTGTAAATCATAGAATCATTAAGGTTGGAAAAGTCCTCAAGGATCATCAAGTCCAACCGTCAACCCACACCACCTAACCCACTAAACCATGTGTGTCTTTTCCAGAAAGCCCGAGTAACAACTTAACATACATTCACTATATATCTGACTTTAGAGAGAGATGAGATTTTTTTTTTTAATTATAGAACTCTAAGATATTTACAACAAAGATTGGAGAGTCCTTCTGTTATGCTACAATTTTTTATTTGTGCCATGAAAAAATGGTATAGAAATTGTTACTACTTTTTCTACCTAGAAATGGGAAAAAACAGTTAAACATCTGAAAAAATATAAAGAGGAGACAGAAAAGAAATTGAAGGAAGGCAGTATAGAGTCAGAACAGCTGAGACTAGTCAGCATTAGAATAGTAATTCATTGAAAGTAACAAGATAGTCTTTCAGCATATGCACCAAGTAACCCTTTCAATCTCAGGTATAGGTGTCTGGTGAAGAGTGAAGTACATCCTTGGCCTTTTCAACTAAGTGGTGTTTATCATACTTTAAAAAAGAAGTTTTTATCTTTTCTGTGAATCACTTCAGTTTAGTGGGGCTTCTAAGAAGAGCTTTTGTCCCTCACAGCCTACTGGTTTTATGAGGCTCAGGATATCTGTGTTAACCAACCAAAAATGTTGTGGCCAAGTAAATTGCCCCCCCTGAGCTGCTCTTAGGTCACTCTATACGTGACATCATGCACAACCACATTTCCCACCCCTAAGAAATAATTTGTCCTTGCAATACTGTACCACAATATCTGAATTATTATAGCTCACATGGATTACTATAGTAGCTTAGGGTGAAAATATAGGGGTTTAGATGTTTTATAGGGTATTAATCAGCATAAAGTCAAATAAAAAAGTAATAGAGGTGCCCCAGCCTGAGGTCTTAGATGCTGCTTATCAGTAAAAGTACTGTTCTTTGATTAGAAGGAGAGTATTTCTTTCTCTCAATAGCAAGAGAGTATTTCTGCAGCATTCTTCAGGCAAAGTTAGTCTTCCTTCTTCTTTCTCAGGGGTTTGTGGTACTCAGCATCCCTTTTTCTCCCCCGTCTTCCCAACACCTCTGTATTTTATGCTGTGTTGACTTTATTACCCCCCTAAGAGAGGGGCAACTTTAGTGAGGACCTCTCTGATAGATCCTTTTCACAACAATGGAAGAGGGCATCATGGAGAGCTCTTAACCGTACATACAGGAGAAAGATTTGAGTTGTGTGCTGTTCTGCCCCTTCTCGCACAAAGCTCAAAACTGAACACAGCATGCATTAACTGTGCTCTCTGCAGTTCCAATTACACTGCCTCCCTAGATCACAGTTAGCTTAGAAGCAGCTCACCACTGGTTCAAATCTAAGCTTGACAGCCTGCAGATAGAAGTTGTGAAAAACCACCAGCCAAAGAACCCAAAAAGGAGGTAAAAAAACCAAGCACGTTCATTTCAAAGTGGGAAGCAAAGAAAATAGGTGAGGAAAGTATTTAGTAGCTCATTATCAGCCAGGATTTCAGTTTCCTGAACTTTCTTTTGTAGTTCTGTAAACAGGGGTAGAAATAGACCCCTCTTCCAGTCTAGTTTGTTTTCTCCTCTTTTGCCAATGGACATATTTAAGCAACAAAGAATATTACATGTACAAGATAGCTTCAAGGGACTGTTTCTGTACTCAGAATAAATTCTATTGCACACACTTCATGTTTTTTTGATGCTCATTAACCAAAAACTTGTCTGAAAGCTAACAGCTAGTATATTTTCTTCTCAGCATTCTATTGTTTCAGTGGTCCTCCTTCCCCTCCAATGTACCTTTTATGGCCTCTTCAAAAGCCATGCTTACCTTTTCTGTGTAGCTTCATCAGCCTTCTCCATCATTGGTAGCTCCTGTGTAGCTGTGTAGTTTAGAGGTGTATGCATTAAACTGCTAAAACTTTAATCTCTTCTTTAGTAATGACAAAGATTCTCCAAACAGTCATCAGCTTCATAAAATGTTGTATCTTTTCCCAGGAGAAAAAGCAAGAAGAGCATCCCACTCACACCTCCCTGGCCAGCAGGGCCAGGCCCCAGCACTTCCAGCTCAGCCCCAGGAAGGCCCATGTGAGCTGGGCAGGAAATGAGCTCACCTGACTGGGCGATTCCCAGCCCAGGGAGAGCATCACCTGCCACCAGGAGACTCCCTGCAAGCACCCAGGTGCTGGAAGAAACAGGAACTTTACTTGATCTGAGATAGTTAGATGGGTCTACATCACGGGGCCAGCCTTCCTTACAGGGTACCCATCTATAGGGGACCTAGGAATGCTTGTTTAAACAGTAAACTTTGATTTAACTCGTACCTCTCACCTTGTCTTTTTGACTCAGGTGCTTTGCATTGTGAGGCTGATATTAACAAAGCTACTATTTATAGCAAAACAATTATTCTTTATGTATCATTACTGTAAACTATATGCTGTTGATACTGTACAGCTTTGCTTTCATCGCTTTTCTTTTACCAGCTTTAGACTAAGGCCTGGCAGGTGATCTCAAAACAAATCGCAGACTGGTTTTGGAGGGTTCAGGTGAATTACTGAAGACAGTCATGTGTCTGTGGCTGGATGATGAGGTGACTGGGACAGGGAGGAACCGGCAGGACTGGCTGCTTCTAATGGTAGATGATGTCTAGGTTATGAAAGAACATAAGCCTCGGGCTATTTTAGGAGCATATAAGGAGCTCATTAGGTGTGTGATATACCACACATCATCTTACCTTCATAAGAATTAGTGGAATTTGTTCAACCTATCCTACTGTGGAACAACACACTGGGGAAAGAATAGTTGAAGCAGATGACTTACACCATAATATGTTGAAAATTGGCTTACTCATGGTTACTCTTCCACATGGTTTCAATACACCCTAGCTTCAGTGCAGGTGGTGTTACACTCTGATCTGCTTCAACAGAGCTGTCTGTAAACTCCTCTGTGATCGATGGTGCTATTCCTGTGGGATCTATACATGTTATTTGAAATACTTGTTTAGTTTATTGAGGAGAGAAGTCTTGCGTACCTCTGGAGCTTAGGAGTAGCCCCAGGACACACTGAAATGAGCTCATTCTGCTCCTCCAGAAATTTAGTCCTCAATGGTGACTTAGGTGATAGGACTGTGGACTAACTCGTGGCAACCTGAGACTCTCCTCCTTAAAGCAAATAGATGTCCTAAGGAACAAGGGGTTGACTGAGCTCACTATTAGAGCTAATACACACTTGAGCTTCATTAAATTGTGCTGCTTAAGAGCAGGCCTATGCAATATGGTTTTAGGTTTGTCCCAGTCAAGCTGGTTCCTTCAGAAATCAGCTCGTGTGTATGCCACACCTGCTCCATAAAGCTGCTTAGGTGGCTTGGTGTGCCTTTTTACCTCCACAGTGCCCTCAGGCAAACAGCAGTCAAAACTGTCATCTAGTTTTGGTTGCTATGAACTCAAACTGTAATCACAGCTGAAAAACAGTCTTCTCAAATAGCACTCACCATTTAAGCATTCAGTATAAACAAAAGCGCTAAGTAGGTTGCCTAACAAGGGACAAATTATTGTGACCTTTGCCTGTGCAAAAGGACTCAGCATACGGCACCTGTGCTTGTATGAACTGCATGTTGGCAGGGCAACAGCACCAACCACCCCTCTGTTTTCCCTCTGCGGGAGTTTTTAACCAACACAGGGTATACCTCAAGGGCTGGATCTTCACCCTTTCCCTGTTCCAGAATCCCCTGCTCTCTCTAGGGCCATGCGTCTGTAGTTACTTTGTATATTGAAACACAAAGTCTGATTGTATGGCTGTAGCCATTAAACTTGGCACTTACATGCCCATAGCAACATCCTGTTCCAAGTTCAACACATCCTATTGCTTCTTCTAAACTTGTTTGGGGTGGAATGCAGTAAGATACGGTGTAATTGTGAAGGGTTACTGTACTCCAGTACCTTTTAACTGTAGCACTACCTTAATCTTCAGCTGTGGCTGCTTTATTTAGCAAGTGATGCAGTTCAGTGAGTCACATGCATAGTGAAAGAGCTAGTCCAGGTGTCCAGGATGTGTTCTGGTCTGGTTTTTTTCTTCAGATTTGCTCTAGTCTAATCCTGCTGACTGAATGCTCACTAGCAACTAGGGCATTTCTGGAAGGCATCTAACTGCTGGTTTGAAAGGAAACTAGTTTGTCTGCTCAGAGCCAGCTCTGCAATGTGAAACACAGCATGGTGAGTGGCAGCTCACCCATTTGAAACATCAGAAGTAGACAATAGGCAAGATCTTGTTATTCTTTTCTTTAAGCATAGTAATTTCAATAAAGTAGTAGAAATCTAGCACTGCTGCCACCTGCAGCATCAATAATTGAGGTCTACAGTGCTAGCCTTTCCCTAGGCTTGGTAGCTGCTAAGTCTCTCTTATAGTAATATTTGCAATATTTAAAAAATGAATTTTCTAAGCAGTGAAAAGGTTGGTTGGTCTTTTCTCCCTATCAATCTATGGCCTTCAGTGAATGTGGATGGCAAACAGCTTTCTACACTTGTCAATGCTGCTATCAGGTAAGCACAACTGGAAAGCTATTTAAAGTTTTTAAAAAAGTTTTTAAAACAATCAGGATATGCTTTTATGAGCAGTCTTTAAGCAAACACTTTGAGTTAGTGTTTTATATAAAACAGCTCTTCAGCAATGAACGGCTAACAAAACTATCACAGTTAAACCAAGTAGTTTGACAATCTATGTAGTGTGTTTGACTGAAACTGTTACTAATTCTCTTAGTGAGGCTTGAGGAATGCTCCCAACATGCTGACAGTTGAGGCTGGCATTGATTTAAGTATTCTTTCCCCCTTAGTCTCTTGTTGAGGTGCTGAAGCACATGCAAAGAAGGGCAGTGTCTTGTGAGGAGCAGCTGAGGGAACTGGAGTTGTTCAGTCTGGAAAAAATGAGGCTGAGGGGAAACTTCATCACTTTCTGCAACTACCTGAAAGGAAGCTATAGCGAGGTGGATGTTGGTCTCTTCTCCCACGTAACAAGCTATAGGACAAGAGGAAATGGCCTCAAGGTTTAGACTGGATATTAGGAAAAATGTCTTCACCAAAAGGGTTATCAAGCACTGGAACAGGCTGCCCAAGGAAGGGGTGGAGTCACCATCCCTGAAGGTATTTATTTAAAAGATGTGTAGACGTGGCTCTTAGGGACATGGTTTAGTGGTGGACTAGGCAGGGCTGGGTTAATGGTTGGACTCAATGATCTTACAGGTCTTTTCTAACCTAAACAATTCTTTGATTCTATATTGAATTGTAAATTTTCCCTTAAAAAAAACCAAAACAAACAACAAACCATACTGGGCTTCAGTTTTCGCTGTTTGATTCTAAATACAAGACTGAATATCAGATTACAGAGCAGTGTGTCAAAGGAGAAGATGTAATAGCAGACACATTTGAGCACGTCAGCATCATACTTGCGGACAGTGGAAACAGTTTCCATACATACGCGATACGGTTCAAATGTCAGAAATAGAAAAAGTCCATAAACGTATATACAGCACAACCTGTGGCTCTGACCATCTACAGAAAAAGCTGTACATAAAACTGGTTTCCCCAGCACTGCATAATACAAAGAGCATCAATTCCACCTGCCCCAAACCTCATCATACAACTGCGTAAGTATACAACATCTTTTGAGCCATTCTTGTATTTCCACTGCTCTGATAAATAAGTGACAAGTTAAAGGCAGTATCTCTTCTCAAGTCTGTCTGATCAGTATCTATTCCCTGTAAAAATAATGATTAAAAAAAGTTATCTATATGCAAAAATAGTATAAAATAGCAATTACAATGTAAACAAATCACACATTCATGGTTTATATAGGCTTTCCGTAGTACTCCTTGTGCCCTCCCTCTTTAATGAGCTTCCTCTTGTTGTTAATCACCAAAGAGTTATATAATCACATACTCAAAACCTTATCTGTAAATTAGATAGCCAACTCATAAATCAGGAGAGTACTACCTTAACTTGTCTTTGTCTGCAAAGTATTTGTTTCTATAATTGAAATGTGAATGCTGCCTGTATCTTCAACACGGTGAAAAGATTGCTGCTTTGAACTCCCTGTGCTAACACCCATGTTACGCTTGCAATTTTTGTACCTACCCATTCCAAAGCTACGCAAAAACTTTCTCTCAGGCCAGACTTGTAAATGGGTACTGACCCATCAATTAGGATGATCTAATACAGATCAGTTAGAGCAAAACCATGGCTCACATATATCTAGGCATTCTTAATACTGGTTCCTGTTGCTCCAGCATGGGGGAGTGTATAGCACTTCCAGTTATAACTTATTGCATATAACATACATCAAGTTCAGCTACTTATTCAGGTAAAGTTGTTTGGCAGCCCTTTTTGCTGCTGCTTCAGCCTATTAGTAAATCCTTCAAAATGCATAAACCTTTGAAATTAATACATGCATAAATGCATTACCAGGTGACAATCAGATTTGGGCTTCCAACAACAGGGAATTACAATACAAATCAAAGGAAACTCAACTACACAGATTTGATGTACCTATTTTAACTAGGGCTGAGGAATTATTAACATTGACCTGACTCTATTCTCTGTACATAACTTACTTAGAAAGATACAGTACCTCTAAGGTGAGAGGAGGAAGTTCAAGTACTTTTTGGTAATAGTGGATTGCCAGGTGCAGTAATCCCAGCTGGTGAAGGCCACGGCCAAGGTTGTAGAAAGACTCCTGACATGGTCCACGCAAGTCCAAGTACCGGTGAAGGAAGGAGAATCCCTGTACACATGTTATGCACATTTGTGAATGCTCCCCTTAAGAAGATGGCAGTAAAATATGCTGGAGAACAGGTGTTTGAATGTATATATTTAAATCTTTGATTCTTGCTTCCCCACAAAAACACATGCAAGTTGAAGGCAAAAAATAAGTCACATTCGATTGTTGAGACCATGAAAAGTGTGCTCTGTCAGTCTCACTGCCATTGACAACAACAGGTACAACTTTTTTGTAAACTGAACACACAGTTATTTATTACAGTGACTTAACGGCACTAACTTGCTAAGTCTGTAAGTATATATGTATGTGTCTACGTAATATACACACACCTAAGTCTAGTTAACGTTCAGAAGAGAGCTGACCACCTTGAAAAACATGCAGCCAAAAGGACAGCCTAGAGCAAGATCTTATTTTTCTTAAAAACAGCTTTAAAAGATAGCCCTCCTCCACTTTTTTTTTTTTTAAAAGGAAAACAAAATACAAACCCTAAACCTTTAATTCCCTTTCCTTCACTCTCTGCCTTAGAGAGTGGAAAGAAATGGTTCAATTCTCCAACTTTTCAGAATTATACAAAATTCTGAACTCCTTTAAGTATATATCAAAGTATTGTTTCTGGAATGCAAGCATATTCTTTTCTTGACCTTGTGCCCCATATAAGTATTTGCTCCAATACAGGTTATCAGGGAAATTACCAGTATACAATTTTATAAAATGTCCAAAAATAAACATCAGTGAATAAGGGAATGAAAAATTCCTCTATCCTAAGCAGTCGGCAAGAGTTCATGTCCCTTCTTGAAGTCAGATGTTAAACTGCCAAGTCTCCAGCAGAATTTGAAAGGAAATTCCTACCCAGCAATTCCAGTACTATGCTTTTAACAAATTTACAAGTCGATGCACTCTGTAAGTGTTATACTTTCTTATTTTGCTTTTAGTTTAAAATTAAAACATATGCTCATATATTTAAACTACATGACCAGCAGAATCCCAGGTGTACATAATTTTGTTGCCAGCCTTAGTCTGAATACCCGCTCCTGGTCTGTGGCATGCTGTGGTTCAGACAGATGAGCAGCACCCAACAGGGACCATGCGCCTATCTGGGTGCTGATATTCCAGAAGATGTAAAACAGGACAATGGATAAAGTGACAATGACCAGGCACTGGTGGAACAAACCAGTCTCATTTATACACCGACATGCTGTAAAGTGAGAGAAGCGAGCTGTTTCCCATCTGTAGGACGTTGCTGCTTACCAGCTTGGTGTGTTACGGACTTTTTGTGACTCAAGGTTTGTAAGATGCTAATAAAGATGAATGGCATTAGACTAGAGCTACCTCCTGTACAAAGCAAAGGCAAAGAGACACAGTATTTTACATTCAACTTAGGAGGGATACGTAGAAGAGGTGAGTTCAGAAGGGAAAAACTGAGGACCCAACTGTTTCATCTGCTCCTGAGCATTTCACTGTGTTACGACTTTGGAATGTGATGATTCTGTTGTAAATAGAGACTTTATTTCAAGGAACTGTGTTGGTAATCAGTGAAGATAGGTCCTTCAACATGAGGAATTAGCTCAGACACCAGCAACTAATGATCGTTATTTAGGTCACCAGTATGTCACTGTGGCTGAATTATTAATCAACTACAATAGGACCAAGAGAGGATGTAAAAATACAAAGTATAGTAAGCAAGAAATGAGAAAATATATATATATAGCTCAAAAGCATACTCATCTGTGCTCATGTTTTGCCACCTCCCTCTTTTGAAATGCCATATTAATTATTAAGAGTTATTTAAACAGAGTATGTTGTAGCCGTAACTGTCTGCAAGACACAAAGCCAGGAAACACTATAGGTAAAAATAACCACAGTAACTCACCTGTACTAGAAGAGCGTGCCTTTTCAATACATATTTCTGAGAAGCCATGTGGATGAAAGTCAAGCCAATACAAAGACTGTAGAGAGGTTCATCTGGGTTTGCACGGAAGGCTTGCACATACTGTCCTAAAAGCAAATAACGAATCAGGATGTTTGTTGTGAAAAGCATTGCTTAAGAATTTCAGGGCAAAAAATAAAATCTTCGAATTAGAAGTGTGAACTAAGAAACTAAAGTTTAATATACGTCAGAATACACAGGAAAAAGACATGAAAGAAAATTTTATATTTTCAGCAGTCTTTGGATTCTGAAGGAAAAATGCAAACTGTGATGTAAAAATATAAGCAGAAAAGAATCAGACGTGGAAGGCAAACAAGGTCCTTACTGGGATTTATATCCTGGAGGTCACACATCTTAAGTGTGACATTTGGAGGGCTTGACAGAAAGCAGTAGGTGTACTTCAGAGGCCTGCTTAAAACATCCAGCCAACTTTATTTGCTGTTTAAATTGGTCTGTTTGTGTCCTTCTTACTCTTTTTTATCATTAGCCTTCAATTACCTTTGAAAGTTGGTTATATTTGCAATGTGTGCTAAACTTGAAACATACCAGCTTAATGTTTATTAGCAAAACTCTAGCAGTGCTTTGATTTGTGTACAAAATAATCAAAGCACTAGACTAACATTGTGAAGCCATCTATAGTTTTCTGATGTATGAAAAAAATTAATAAATTTTTCTCTGAAAAAAATTCACTTGTTGTATCTGTTAATATTAGAACATTAATGACATTACCAAGAGCATGCTTGAAACTGCCAGATACAAACGCGTTGTGCCCATTTAGCACACACAATGCGTGATTGTCAGGATTTTTCAGCATTAAGCGGAGACAAAAGCGATGGTGACGGACATCCTGAGACTGCATAGTAACTTGATTGAATATGTTCCAGAGCTGAGGTTTATTGACATTTTCCATTACCATGATTCTACAGAATGAAAAGTATACAAGAAATTAGTAAATGCTATAGTAAATACTTTATCTGCCATACAATCTCAATAGCTTAGGGAAGATAACAAAGAAGAGACACTCAAGGAGCAGGTCAGTGACTGAGGCAAACTTGAGAGAAAGACAGAACCATTGGTTCTGGGCAAATCAAGCAACCTACTGCATTATGCATTTTTTTTAAATCAAGGCTATCAGAAAGCTCCTTCAGTTTCAATAGCCTTCTCTGTTTTAGCGAAAGCGGGAAAGCATCAGCCTGCCTCCTTTAGAAGTGTTTTCAGCAGTATGACTACAGCCTCCATGGAAGCAATGACAGAACAGATTGCTCTACCTTCTCCGTACCCCACCTGATATAGTTGTACCCCACCTGATATAGTTGTACGCCTTTCTGAAGTTCTTGTCCAGAATTGCAGCAGAGAGCCCAAAGTATTCCAGCTCCTTGCGCTTTTGTCTATCATCATAAAATGAATAATATTCCAGCGAGGAATCCACTAGTAGCTCTGCCTCCTTGTACCGGGAGAGGTCGCACAAGGAATAGATAGCCTTCAGGAGGAGGTTCCACCAGTCATCTTTTGTCAGAACACTTGTGAGAACAGCAAAAATTGCTGAAAATATTGAAGTCAGTAAGTTGAGAAAATTAAAATAAGTGGGCTAAACTCTTTAAAAAAAAAAAGGAAAAAGGGTGCATACATAAAATTGATCTTTTCAAAAATTAACAGGTAAAATAAAGATGAAATCTTTACTTTTTCAGTTTAAGTGCAGTTTGTAAAATACCAGCACAAAACCAGTCAAACCTTGCGAACAAATGGCAAGAGATACACACAGTTCAAGTTGTAAACATACTACATGAATGCATTAAAGACACCCTTCCTAATCTACCAAACGGTGCTTACGAATATGTAGTCTGGCTCTGCAAAATCTGGGCCAATTAAAAAAAAATCACACCACTTTAAAAACGTTTATTTCTAAAACACTCTAGATTTGCATGTATTATATTTGCACTGAGGATAATGTTGGACCATGTGATCTCTAGAGGTCCTTCTTAATCTAAATTATTCTGTAATCTTACTATTTTCTCTGAATTAGGATTGTTCCCTTAAATTATATTATCTTCATTTTTGCTGCCTTATTTGTCCTAGAAATAAAGCAATGTTAACATGAACTGCATGGTTTAGCATGCAAAACAGTAACATTTATCTCATTTTTCAGAACTAAGGAGTTCATCTTGTTGCTTTGGTTTTAATAAATATTTGTTACCTTTTGCATCGCAATTTGCTGTCTCTTGGTCGTCATTGTCAGAAATTTTATCCCTTGACACCTTAATAAGATACAGGTGTCTCTCGCCAGATTTGGAACTAGATATCAAACACACCTGAGCTCTGCTCATTGCTACCTAGAAATAAATTCAAGGGCAGCATTTCAGATTACATTAATACATCCTATGACAAAGGCAGCTTTATGGCCAATCCAGCTGGCTCACATCGCATACCAAAGTAGTCTGCAAGTTAGAAATGCCACAATAGCACCAGATTATGAGAACATTCCCATGAGGAGAATTATCTCTGCATTGTCTCATGCTCCAGTGCAAACTGGGCTATGCAAAAGAAAGATATGAACACTTTAAATGACTTACAAGACTTTTCCTGGGATTGGAACGTCCCTGTATGTATTGAAATCAAAACTATTTGCATAGAGGCATAAGAAGAACAATGCCTTTCTGTATCACTTTCAGAAATATGTGGACAGTCAGCTATTCAACCAGTGTAACACAATAGTAATGGCTCTAACCAGATGGATAAGACTGAGGTTTAAATATCCCCCTCCATCACTCGCCATTTAAAAACAAACAAAAAACAACTAAGCCACAACTATCACCAGTTTGCTGGTTAAACAAATTCTTCTTTGGTCATTTTATCACATAAAAACAACCATTTAAAAAAACTAAGAAATCCAAAAGAAAATAGTTGAAATAGAAGCCAGTATCAACATTTCAAGATAGCAGTATGCTGACTGCTACAAAGGTAAGAAGCAGCTGTGGTACCCAGTGTGTTCTATGTACACTGAGAAACAGGGAGTTGAAGTCAGTGTATTAAGAATTATACACACAAGTCGTCCTCTGTTCTGAACACTACAGGCAGGAACACCAGTATTATAGACTCCCTGCAAGATTATCTAACAAAATTACAGAACCATTTGCATATAAAACCCACTAGCTTTCCTCCCGAGTTTGTTTGTCGTTTGTCTTAACCCAACTCATATCTGTCCAGTTTGTTAAAGTGTAGCCATAAAGACTGACTTACCTTCAACAGCATTGCCAGCATCGTAAGTAAAGTGTCTGTGTAACCATACATTTTGCCTTGCGAATACAACAGTGTCGAACGATGGAGAAGCAGCTTTAATTCCTAGATAATACCAAACATTATTATTCAACCTCTTGCACAGAGAGTAAGTTTATAAAACAAACAATTTTGACTCAACACAGTACTAATAGGATTGCAGAAGCTTCTAGAAAGCTGTAAGAATCTTATCAGCAGAAAAAAAAATGCTCTGCATTAGTTCACTGTTTCAAATTCTCAAATTTCAGAGAAATTCAGCATAACTCTTACCTATAGTGAAGGTGCTGCTGCAGAGGGGATAGAGAACCTTTGCTACGCCATCAGTTGCAATCAATAGAGGCCAAACCATGTGGCTCATATGTAGCAACTGCTGATCACGTTGATGCAAAGTGATTGGTGTAAAGATTGGTTCTCAGTGGCCAAGAGGATGCCCATCACACAGGGGTAACCAAGTGGGACAGGGGAAGTACTGATAAAATGGTCAGGGAGAAAGAGCCATAAGACTCATCCCTGATTCTCTGTAATGGACCATTCACTGTGCTCTGAAGGCTCCCCATGCTGTAGATAAGTAATTCTCAGTTCCTGGTCCTATATAGTTGACATCTTTAACCACTACCATAGTTCAGCAGAATAATCTATCCTAAACTGGAAGCACAGAACACTTGACCCACCTGCTGGGCAGCATTAGCATCCTGAGCCAGTGTATCTGGGTCATACATTGGTTCCAGAGCCTCCAGAGCTTTTTCAGGTCGGCCCAGCTGCTGCTGAAGTGTTGAAAGTGATATTCTTGCATCCAGGTGCAATGGAGCAAGATCAACAACTTTGGCATAGCTCTCTGCAGCACGCTCCATGTGTCCCAAAGCCTTCAAGCACTCTAGAAATACCATAAACAACACAATACACTTAAATGGCAGAAAAATAAGATTTCAAAGCTTGCAAATTTGCTAACATACTTTTCAGATACTTTTTCAGTTAAAACCACCCAAAACATGTGTTATTGAAGTGAAAATATTCAGAAATACGACTGATGAATCCAGAGTTTCACTTAAAGCCTCATCAATTGACACAGGATGGAATGCAGAACAGATGCAGTTTCAATTACATCAAAATAAAGTATTTTTAGCTGAAGTAAATTTCACTCTATATGAAAAAACAAGAAAATGTTCCATGACAGGGTTGTCATAATATACCCCAATTACAGTTTTGCAAATACCAATTATCATTCAAAATGTGAATCTAAAATTCCAGTGATCTTAGATAAAAGTCCCTGGAAATGCTCAGCGTTGTATTATTATCTCTCAGCACCACGTATTCAGCAGTCCTGCTTCTTCTCACCCGCGTGCCGAAGCCAGACAACAGCCAAGTTGTATCGTTCTGAACAGACAAGGGAACTCAAGAGAGGCAGTGCCGAGTTGTATTCTCCAACATCCAGAAACGCCTCTGCAACGTCCAAATACAAGTCACCCATTTCTTCTGGATTTTGTTCCACCAGAGTGGTCAAAAGAGGCTTTAAAAAAAACACACAAAACACTAAAAATAGCCAACAAAAGCATTTAAATAAATAAATTTAAAGAAATTACGGTTATTGGAAGCTTACATTTTTATGCTATGATTTTTATTCTATTTGCATTCTGAACTACATTTCCTTTATTTAAATGTTTAAAAGTGAAAAATAAAGATCTGAATTTCAGAATTCCTGAAAAAGCCACATTTTTCTATTCTAGACACTTCACATCCAATGGTAAAAGTGCCTATCAGTGAGGAGTGCTCTTTATGAAAGAACAGCCTTCAGATCTAGTCGGGCTTTACAACAAAGTGAAGATGTGTTCCTGAGTGTTCAACAACTTTGCACTGTGGTCCTGGACCTGTGCTTTAGTAATATTTCCACAGGAGGCATATTTTATAAGGACAAAAATGGTATTTCTGCCATTACGGGTTTGCTAGGTGTCTCTCTTGGAGTGGAAGGGAAGCAAAAATAATCTCCGCAGCTCTCTCAACAACCTCAGTCATATGAAGACAGGAAAAATTACTTGCTTTGGTAGTTTATTAGGACATCTCCCAACTTCTGACTTGGTTTCTACTCACACTGAGTGGCTCTAGGATGTTCAAGTGAACCAAGCACACCATTAGCTTGACAGTGATGTCTATGGGAACGCCCTCAGGTATGCAGCAGCTGACCTTCTCCACAGCTGTGAGAAGATAAAGAATTTTTTCTGAACCGATTGGCTTTAGCAAGCACTTCACAAGCTCCACACCCCCTCCAGGCCATGTTCAGCTCAAGTGAAGAAAATATATTCTTATTGACTCTAGCAAATGTCGGTGTAGGCCTGGCCTCTCCCCTTCTTTTATATCTTTCCCAGTAGTTGGAACAACTTCTTCCTACTCTCTCTGATCCCAATAATTTCATCTAAAGTATCAAGTACTGTCAGTCTGCATTGACTTCAACAGCAGGATTCTGCAGGATGTGCTTAGAGCCTTTGCCCTCTTAAGACGTGCTTGCTTCATAAAGCTTTCTTTAGCAATTTATGCACCTCCACCCTCTTCTCCTTGCTTTCTGAAGAAAATACTCTGTATTAAGGTATTTGTTCATACTAAGCCAAGTCCTGTGCACCAGGGCTCTGGCTGTAAACGTTGTCAAACACAGTTGGCTACAGAACTTTATGCAGCATATAAAACGCAATCTGATGAGAATGCAAACACGAGACAAAGTAATTACCCATGACAATGCTAGCAAATTACATGTCATACAGTGAAATTCCATTATTATATTTACTTCACATGCCATCATGACACCTCCTTAACTACCCTGTTTAAGTTGTCCTTCACCTTCTTACACTAGACACTCAAAGGGTGACTGCTATAACCCAAGAAAACTGTGATTTCCAGCATAAGGCTTCCCTATTACCTTTTACATCCACATCCAATTACTGCAGATCACAACATGCAGACTAATTCATCATTCTCTGAACGTCTTAATACTCAGCATGAGAGTAACTGTTCACCTACTGACAAATTCTTACAAAATGAAAAATTTTCAAAGTGGGTAAGCCCTGGGAGAATGCTTTTGGCTTTGGTGGCTGGCTGGGTTAGAAGTAAGTTCTGAGTAAAGACGACAGGATGAGCCCTATTTCTCTGTTGTTAGTAATCTTTCCCAATTTTTATATTGTTTTGCAACCTGGTTTCTGAGTATATGATCAGTTAGTAGACTTATACAAAATTAAAAAATTAAATTACTTACCTGCAGCACTGGATTCAGCAGCTGGATTATTTTGGTTGTCAGTCACTGCCTCCTGGCTTTCCTGAGTTTCTACCACTGCCCCTGTGCCTTTTAAAAAAGATTAACAGATTATCCTAGTAGCACCAGCTAAACCCAAAGTTACTTGCTTTTGAATTCATGATTGATTGTTAGCTTACTCTGAAAAGTGAATTTTTTTTGAAGGACAGTAAAGTAGGAATTATTAAAAAAAATTCTACAGCAACAGAGGGCAGGGACCCAAGCTCTTGTCTAGTTTAGAAGCTTTGTCTTAAGAAATTACATTTCCTATGTAACTTGGCAATGCTGTGTTATAATTCCTAGACTCATTATAGTTTTACTTCTCATAAATTATCTGTTAAGAGTCTCTATCAGGACAGTTGTTCATTGATCAACTATACTTTTACCTGGTCAAGTATCTTATACCTACATTGTGTTTGGACTGGATTGCTGATACAACTAACCATTTAATCATAAAACAGAGCATCTGCTTGTAGAGTTGGCACACTGTGATCATTCCACAGCCCAAACGAACATTTTCAGACTTAAGCAATGACTTTCACAAAGAAGGTTTCTCAAAGGCAACCTGTTTTATTCTATTACAAGTAATATCCCTAGATTTCTATATACCAAAACATTTAAATGTTTAATAAAAGAAGTAGGATTTATGAAGAATATTACTCTCAGGTCAAAGGTTGATATTGCAGAGTATAGATGTCACTAAGATTATCTAATTTTTTTCAAAAGCTATTTAGGTGGCAGAAATATCTGGTCTGATGTGAAGACTCAGAGGAATGTTTAGAACTTTAAAAGGCCTCCAGTTGCCTGGAGAGTTCTTGTCCTTAATGAGTCAGCACGGCTAATTGGACATCAGAGTAACTCCTTATAGAAAGCTGAGGTCATGCCATGTAACTCATTAAAAACACTGCAATGTTTCAAAAGAGAAAAGCCTGTCAACATGCATCAAAATATACCCATGAGTTTAAAAGGTAAGGGAAAGATGTCATATTAGATGAATAGCAGGGTCATGCTAACCGCTTGTTAGCTACTTACCTTTTTTCTCCTCAGCTGGACTCTTTTCTGATACTTTCTTTTCAAGTACAATTCCTGCAAAATCTGTAATAACCTAAAACAGAAGAGTAGGTCGGATCATTTTAAAGACTTAAATGATATATGGAGTAACCAGCCCATACAGCATTTATTTTAGACATCAGAAAAGTTATCAGAAGAAAAGTGGCACTAATTTAACACGGGGTTAGTTGACGAGTATTGAGTTTGATCACCTTATGTCTTTGTCCACTCTTTTTGGATGGCTTAGGTGATCCAGTCAACACCTCTTTAGCAAATACAACAGTTATTTTCATGACAACTAGAAAAGTTTTTAACCTCTATAGCTTCTTTTAATGCATTTTGGAAGACTGAAAAAGAAAGCAAAGCACCAGGCAAAGAGCTGAGCTGTCCACAGTTCTTTCCAAAGTGCTCCAAGGACTCCTCAGCTTAATACGTTGCAAGGAAACTGTACGGTTTGTCTCAGTTTAAAAAAATAATTAAATAAAACTCACAGCTATGTACAGACATTTTACAACAGCCCTGGTCATACATTTCATGACCTCAATAAAACCAGTATAATTCAATAGAACAACTAACTTCAAAAAACAGAAACCAGAGACAGACAATTCAAGGCATTTCCTTGCCAATGGGGAGGTGTGAGGGGGGAAATGCCAAAGTGTAAAGGACCGTTGGTCTAAGACTCAATGCAGTTTAGTATTTTGGTTCATTAATTGAAAAACAAATATTCAAGTTGTTACTGTTGCCAAAATAAGAGTGACAAACACAGAGTAAATGGCCCATAGAGGAACATACCAGATTACTGTATTAAGATAATTATTTTTTAAAGGCTCAGTTTACCAGTTCAAATAGATCCAGCTATCCAGGAACAAGAAACAACATCACAGGAATAGACTTGAGGAGAACCACCAAGGAGAAAGAGCAGAACAGCCGTTTGACTGTGTACTGTATTAATAAATCTGGCAGCTAAATACTGCGTACATAAAATTGACTGTTTGACTTTTTAAATGGGAAGAAGTACAGAAAAGGGTCAGAGGAATTGTTTGCAGGCTCATGATTATTTGCACTGACAAAGAGCAATCTAAATAAAATCTTAAGGAGAAAAAAGAAAGGTAATTTAATATCAGCAAATAAGAATGTTCACAAGGATAAAGTCCCAACTATTAGTATCTCTTTGTCCTGGGTTAAGCTGAGACAGAGTTAACTTTCTTCATCATAGCTAGCAAGAGGCTGTGTTTTGGATTTGTGCTCAGAAGAAAGCTGATAAAAAGTGATGTTTACACGGCTGCCAAGGTCTTTCAGCTTCTCTGGCTGTCTGCAAACAGGAGAAGCTGGGAGGGAGCACAGCCCCAGTTACTAGCCCAGGATTTGATCTTAGGTTCAGGACTGAGACCCAAAGTGGCCAATAATCTATTCCACAACATACACGTCATGCCCAGTATATAGGTGAGGACCCTCCGGAAGATCGGCCCTCTTGGTTCTGGATCTCTTTTGCTCCAGGTCATCTTGCCCCAGGCGGTCACTCTCCCAAGGCCTTCTTCCCCCACCCCGGTCAGCTCTGGGTCTGGGACGCTCAGACTGTTATCTCCGTTCCGTGAGTGCGGTTTCAGGACTCTCCCTGCTCTGGGATCGTTAGCTGGGAACAGGCTGAGCCTTGGTCATTGGGTGGGGGGGCAGTGTCACTGTGTATCACTCATTTGTATATTTGTATATAGTATTATTTTCAATATTATTGTAGTTTAGTTATTAAATTGTTCTTATCTCAACCCATGAGTCCCTTTTTCCCTTTACCCCTTTAATTCTCTCCCCTATCCTTGGGCAGGGTGGAGGGGGGGGTGTGACTGGGTGAGTGGGTGTGTGGTTTGGCCCCCAGCCAAGGGCAAACCCATCATACTCTTCAACCTACCTTGGAAAGTATAACAATGATCAGATACCTTGTCTTTCCTCTCAAAGCCAGACCAAATCAACTCAGAAACATGCCTCACAAGTGAGGGTTAAAAACTGCTAGAACAAATTGGGTGCAGATAAGCAATCTTCTCCAATTCCTGATGCCTTGGAGTCAAGATGTATTGTCTTTCTGGAATTTATGCTTGATGCTTAATGCATAAATTATTAGTCGTAACACAAGTATGCCAGATAAAGCATGAGGGTCTGCATTTGAATCACTAGACCATTCAGTGTCACTCTTTTAACCTTCAACTTGGAGAATGCCCTTTGCTGCTAGTACTCACAAAACCAGTAGATCTTCTCTGGCTACTAAGGTTATGGCAATTGCAGAGAAGGGGAGGAAGGATCCCAACGTTTTAAACCTGGATACAAGTCTATCAGCCCCCAACTTATTATATCAAGCCACTAACTTCAATGCCAATTACTACAGAACTAATAGAAAGCAATATGTATCTGATCAGCTCTGTCGCTATAGAAATGTCCATATTTAAGCACTACAGGAATATAAACTGTCCATGCTGACTGGCAAAGAGGTGCTGAACACAATATAGAAATACATTTAATTCTCCATACCGCCAATGCTTTGTCATACTGTTTTGAAGAAATATATAGTTCAGCTGCGATGTTAACATCTTCCATGGAGACAAGGCTCTGGTGTTTAGTAAAGGCTTCTTCTATTATCTCAATAGCAGAGGTCACATCATTGGCTTCATAATAACTCCTATAAAACACAGATATGAGATACTAAGTATTTGAGACAACTGACAATATGTACTTTGAACACTAGCAAAAAGTTTTCATATTTCTTTTAGTTTTGTCTATTGGCAAATATTTTCATTAGCAAGAGAAAGTTACAAAAGACAGTGAGAAAGAAGGTGCTTTTTATTTCCTTACAACTGTTGACATTTTTTATGTATTTCAAAGAATCACCATTTTTTTCTCCCCTACAAGTTAGGACATTACTGGAGTTTTCATCACAACGTCCCCCCACCTCGAGCCAGGAATCAATAATGTACTGCATTAATCTGGTTTCAGAAAAACCTCCAACAGTAATACTGCTACAATACACATCCTTGCTTTTTTGTGTGTGATTTCACAACCACAAAGATCAAAAGACTTAAACAGTTTTGAAACAGGCCATGTTCTCTCACACAAGTCATGTGTGAGAAAGCTGAGATACAAAGTAGTTAAACAACTTACTAAAAACTACAATACGAAAGCTACACACACTTAACTGCAAGCCTTCTCTGTATCACACAAGTTTCTATGACTTGACCTGCTCTCATTAGCAGAAAAGGGGAGGAGGCAGATTTCTACTTGCTCCAGAAAAGAATCACAAATGACATATAAACTACATTCTGTTGCAGATGGTTTGTATTTCAGCTTGAATAGTTTGTTTCACTTAGATTTGCCAGCAGTAAGTTTCCTGCTCTATATAATTGTGCACTATTGGCATTTTTCCAGGAATCAGTATTTGCATTTTATTCTCTTACCCTAAGAGAATGCAACACTTCCAAGATGACACATTGATCCTACACAGGATAATTCCCACATGTCAGGCTTTGGAAATATCACAACAGTAGGCTAGGTCACCCCCACAAAACCACATCTGCATTCCTTGATTTCAGCTACATACCCAGCCTGAATCAGCTGCAGAGCATATTAATACCAGTTTTTGAGAAACTGTAAAACCAAATAACAGTATTTTAAAATCCAACTTACTTTGCCATGTCTCTAGCCAACTGCATAAAGCGCTCTCCATCAGAAGGAGACAGGAGATTTAAAATACGCCTATAGCCATCCATAGCCATCTTATGTTCCCCCAACTGTTCATACAGGCTTGATCTCTCCCACAGATAACGCACATTGGTTGGGTCGTATTTCAGAGCTACAAGAAAAAGCGTATTAGTAGCCTAGTTTAGGAAAAGGCAACAACAGATTTCACATTCAGTTCCCTGACTGTATGAATGTTAATGGACATGCACAAGCTTTTTGTAAGAAAAGGACATCCTATATTAAAGATTCATGAATCTTTTACCAAAATCTGGACAGAGTTACCAGAATCTCAGCAAACTGCAGCAAACTAAATTAGAAAGCAGAAGAAAACAGAATGATTGTCATTAGCACCTCACATTTGTTTCAAAATACTAAAATGGCTGTTACACTACCTTTTGTGTAGCAAAAAACAGCCTGTTTAATATTGTCCTGTTCCAGTGACATTTCTGCTAGTCTAACCCATTCCTCAGTATCACTCGGATTTAAATGAGCTGCAATCAGTTCAAACTGTAATGACTTCTCCATATCACCCTGGTCTTCATATATCATGGCAAGAGTGGAAAATGGCTCATGAGCAAGAGGAGCTGTGTAAAGACAAAAAGATTGATTAAGAACTATTGTTTTAAAACCACCTGGAAAACAAATAACTTGTCTTTCTGCAAACAGATATCCGAATTATATGAAACATCAACATTGCTCTGTTTAAATTCAGAAAAAACTTGCAGACAAGCTTCCAATTCCTTTTTACAAATTATTCAACAGCCTGACTGAACCTAACAACAACCATTTATAGCATTATTCTACATGGGAAGGCACACTGATGCTTATACCCTGGTTCTACAAATACACTAAAAGCAAACTGTGTAAAACTAAGCAAAGGCCCAGGCCTCTGCAGAATCAGGGTGCTAGTTTCTCTTTATAAGCAAAATTATCAAGGAAACGCACCACTTATTTTCAACTCCACACTGCTTCTACAGTGACATTCCTTGTACTCAGTATTTTGATGATCAGTGAAGCCACACTGAATTTTCCTCATGCACATGGCAACTTCACCCCATCCTTAAAGCCAAAATGTTTTCCCATTCTAGCATACCTTGTCGAATGATTTCCATGCACATTAGAATAGCCTCCTCACGTTCTCCTCGAGCAAACCTGATATTGGCCTCTCCCATCAGACCCCTCAAGGCACGAGGAAGTTTGCTGCGAGGTCTTTTCTCCTAAATGGAAAAGGGATATTATTTCTACCGAGGATTCAGTTGTGCTGAAATTCAGGAGACATCAGTCACACTGGTGCTTAACACAACCTATTAAGTACTAGCAATATTAAAATGACTGACTAAAATATTTGATAATTTTCATAACCGAAAGCATAACTCTGATATCTAACACCAATACAATCCAGACACTGGAAAAAGTCACTTCGCTATTTTTCAAAGTTTTCAAAGTGTAATCTATACTGATTTTTCTAAAAAACAAAGACAGGCAACACTAACATAAGCCGAAGCATCCTACATGGAATTATTTTCAGGCAAGTTTCTCAGAAAGCAGCCAAAATCACACACACTGACATTTCACAGAATCACAGAATCACAGA